AAGAAATTATTCTAATCGAACGGAAACGACATAACTTTAAACTACGGCTATAAATCGATTAATAGAAAAAAACACCTGATCGGCAGTAATAAAGTAATAAATTACAAATCACCCGTACATTTTCAAAGAAATCTAAGGAATTTATGCTATTCCATTTCCGGTTTGGGATGCCCTTAACAGGACAAGACGCTTAATCACATTGTATGGCACACACGATCACACTTTTCAGAAATTAAGCTCATTTTCTTTTTTCTGAAGTTCGGAATCTATTCAGCAAAGTCATAGCCTTACTTACTTGAAGATGATATGATTCCATACCTGCTATCGTACGCACAGTGAAAAATTGTCAATAAACAAATTAAGGCGGCGGTGATGAAAGGGTATGACAGAGAGTGCCGTCGTTTATCAGATCATTCGACTTCTTTGGCAGTGGCTGCTCGCTCAACACTCTCACATCGCTCAACGTCGTCTCGCATCAATGGATGCTACCGACCATGTAAAGTGCAGTCAGTTCAATTGAAACCGGTTTCGAATAAGAAGTTATAAGTCAGATGTACGTGGAATGCGAGAAATCGTTGTGTATTATTGCCAAACACTATTAGGTTCCACATCCGTTACTCACACCCATTGAATGTTTGAGAGCGTTAATAACCTAAAAAATTTTACGTTTTCTTGCGTTTCTCCTTTCTATTTGACTGTTCTGTTGTTTCAACAGATTTCGTGCTTATTGCTATCTCTCATATGATTGCTACACTTTCTTTTTGGGTGGTAATCCTTCAATACTTTGATCTCGAAAATGAAGCAGTAAGACGAACTTCAATTTTTTTCATGAAATAACACAGTAACGCAGACAGTATTACTTGCATCTGCTCATTCCGTCCGATATTCACAGCAAATCAAGTCGGTTGGAAATGAAATAACTGTTATTTACTTATCAAAATTCATTGTTATGCGCTTGACACATTAAAGACCACGATGATTTTTCCACGACTGGTGGTTTTCGATTGACTGTTCAAAGTCCGAGTAGAAAACACTTTGCTCTATCGCTCGGACCAATCCCCGAGGGATGCGTCATGCATTCGACTTCATTAAGCATCGTCGGAGGTGAATGAATACATATCTGGCCTTTACAATGATTCGCGGTGGCCTAACGATGTAGTGAGCCAGTGCTGCTATTCTCCCAGACAATTCGACGACTTCGAAGGGATGGAGGGCCTGGCGAACCTGAGCCTGGGATCGATCCCATGTTTATTGCAAGGCGCCTCCGACCGCTGTGCTACACAAGCCTCCTACAGTGCACTAATAGTATGCATAAAGTTTTCAAATTCTTGCCTTCATTTTCATTTTTTCTCAAAAATCGAAACTGCTAAAGGTTTTCGAAATGCGAATTGAAATTTTCAAAGCCCTAAAAGGAAGTATAGCAACAGGACTTGGATATTTGGATACTTGGATGGTCTGTCCTCACTAGTTGTGTGGGCTCCAGCATGATCTCTAGTTTTCGGAGATTTGCTAGTTTAGCCATTGTGCTCCCCTAGAATCTTGAGGTCACGCTTACCAAAGTCTGCTCCAGGTCGTCACCACCACAAGCAATCGCTAACCTTATGAATCAGAGGCGAAATTTGTCAGCAATGCGGCTAGTTTGTTGCCAGTGGATCCTGATATTGGTTTACTCTTAGCTGGGCTTCCTGATGGAAAAGTCGGACTCTTTGTCAGGTTGGAAGAACCTGCCGGGAGGATGAATCCCCCGCTGTACATCACAACCCGATATCTAGGAACACCTCCTAGCCACGATGAAGCGGTAAACCGTATGGAGCAACAGCAAGCATTAATAATATGATGGAGAACGTAATCATGTATGCAGGGACTATTCTCTACCTTGTAGAGAACACTCTCTGTTTTACAACAAATCCCATATATAGAGTACGTATTTCTTTTGGTGTTATCGACAAATTTAAGGATCCTTGCATCAATAAATAAAGTTCGCCGTGAATTATGGTGTGTTTCTGCAATGTGAACGGATGAGTTGTTTCGGGCATGCTGTAAGCATCGTGGATATGATAAGTGGGTGAACCACGAGATGACAGTACCATTCGCAGCGACTGGAAAGCAGATAACGCTCAGTGTTTTTAAAAGAGCGCTTTCAAAAGAGATTATTGAAACTCTAATCTGGTCTACGTATGCCTTCCTCTTAGACCTTCACTAGTTTAACAAGAAAACAATTCAAACTATTGGCTCACCCCATATTTCCCACAATGCATTGCTTTCACACGATACACAAGACAAACTGAACAGGACCAGACTACTTGTTGGGCTATCCAAAGAAAGTTGCCTGAGAATCTAAAGAACTGCCAGGAAAGTAAGTGATGATGGTCGTGCTTTTTAGCAAGAAAGTTGTATACATCCTATATAATGGGGTACAAATACAAAATTAAGACATTGAAGCTGTAGACTAAAGACGATACATACGAAAAATTTTGACGTCTGCCGATAGATAATAACGATTACTGAAAATGAAGCCGAAAAGATGGTGGTGGAACTCACGAATTATTTTTGGGAACAACGAAGACCACTGTACACCGATAAGTGGTATACGAGTTCCCTCTTGGCTTAAACGTTGCTCCAGAGAAAACGCTCCAGTGCAATCTGATTGCCACTTGTATAAAGAATAAGAAAGAAATTCCGACGCAGATTATCCACTGGAAGCTGAGGAGATTGCGATTGAACGAAAATGAGAAATGGAGAGGTACAGGTGCTAATATAAATAGAGGAGTGATCTCGCAAGATATCTTTCCAGTTTCCGTACTTGTAAGGATGATCAATTGTGCCTAGAAAATGGAAATTGTAAGAGTTGCGGGTTGTGAAATGCATCGATTTCACCACGAAGACTACAATAACGAGAATTTCTTGTAAGAAGAAGGGGAATGAGTAAAGCACACTATGTGTAAATAGTTCAGTATCTCTTCCTTGAGACGCACGAAGTTCTTAGTTCAAGATTTATTCATAACTGACGTTTCTGTTTTTTTGCCTTCTTTAGAGACTGAAGCAGTTAAATTAACGCTCAGTATACTCAGCCAAACTATGGGAAAGAATCTTTTAATCATTTCCTGTTTTGTTTTTTGAAACTCTTCCAGTACCTGTCTCAAGTGAAGGAACGGGCCTGATGGATGCATCTAGCTCATAAGTGGTTAGAAAATACTCCTTCATGCGGTTGATCATCACATTACAGGAGTTTACCCAAAATTCCTCGAAGAATTTGCACTCTGTCGCTTTTCTGCGCGAATAAGGTAATAGTGACCTTGTTTAAAACCTTCTCCATTGTTCCCAGGATCGACTTTCTATTAACCTCGGCATTGGAATATGAATGTGTCGTTTTCTTGTTCAGCAATCGCGAGGTTTTTAAACAGCATACATTTACTTCCATAAAGAAAACACAATACAATACAACGCCAGCTGACGTTTCGGCAGTATCGCCTTCTTCAAAGCCTGGAAGGGTATACTGATATACAATCTACTAGGCCAAACGCTTAAATAACACTTACAAAAAGACGAAAAACTCTTCGGTAATTACATGAACAACAACTTCTCGGAAAAACCCACCGTTTTTTTCGTGACTTCCAATGAGGAAGTTTAAAACAGCTGATTATAGTCGCATGTGGTTGACGACTGCACCATCCCACATCGAAAATCGATGCGAACATACAGGATCAGGTGGCGTATGACCTCCGGGCATTCGTTCCTGCTATTCATTGTAGGGTTTTTAACATTTATCCAAAAACCCTCAAGGAGTTTTCGCGCTGGTGTTTTGGACTCCTGTGCAAGGATATTGACTTTTACTTCAAAATCGTCTCCGCTATGCTTTTGTATACTATGCGTGCCTAGTGGGGTGCTTCGTCTTAGTTTTCGTTTGCCATCTAGGTGTTATTTTATACGGATACACAAAGGTCTGCCCGTTTCGCCAATATATTCATCTCCGCAATTATTACAAGAGATCAGGTATATCGTATCTGAACTCACGCAATCACCGTCCCTGCCGTAAGGGCAAATTACGCAATTTGTTGTTTCACACAGACGGCCATACAGGCGGCTGCGAACTAATTGGCGACGTAGAGTAGTCGGTGGTATTTCAACTATCGCTACCGATTCCTCTAGACCTGCCCTTCTTAAGCATCGTTTTATAGCTACGCTTACTTCATCGCTTATAAAAGGCAACATGAACGGGATTTTGTTTTTGCCAAGTGTTTCGCGTGGGCGCGTCGTTCTCCTTGTGAACTAATCTCGTGGGGTTACTATTTCGTAGCCATTAGAGATGACTATTTGCCGAGCCAAGTCGCGCGATTCTTCTTTTAGTTCCCTGGCAGTGCACACAGAGGTGGCTGTTCGAAACACGTTTCTCACAATCGCCCTCTTTGTGTGTGGAGGGTGGGAAGAAAGGAAATGAACAAGGATGTTCTTGTTACTTGGCTTTCGATACCACTTTGTCAGGTAACCGCTACTTGATAGGTTTATTTGAACGTCCAAAAACGGGAGCCAGTTTTTTCTCGGTTTTCTCTTCTCCATTGTTTCTTTCTTGCGAAATCTATCAATTTGAAAATGTTCTTCCAATGTGTTAAAACTGACATTCATTAAATCTCAGTAACAATAGTCAATAATCTATCCACATCACTGAGCTGACTCGAAGGTGTTATAGAATTCGTGCTTATTCCACTCGATGCGATAACAAACATACACCACATCGTGACAACGAGTAACGGTGGACCATTAAGTAGGATCAGTACGGTTCCGAAGAATGGGAACACTTCACGACTTCAAACGAATAAAAGCTTCCAGCCAGCCTTGTGTCAGCTGAATCATGTGGAAAAATTGTCCTTCCAATATTACAGCATTCTAGGACCATATCGCGTTTTTTGATATCCTTTCGATTAAAAACGGTTTTTGGCGAGTTTATTGCCGGTTACTATTGATAGTGGAGAGATTTACAGTTAGCAATTCGTGTTCTAGGTATGCCGACTATTTCAAAAAGCTACCAGAACGAGAAAATCGATCCAGTGGTGGACTATTGCAGCAGGGTGATACTTTTTTGAACTTGTTCAACATGACTAATAGAAGGAAATATCAATATGCTTGAAGAAAAGTGGAAAACAGCATTTTTGTCTCAACCGTGACATTTGTTTTTACTTACGATGAGAAGGAAACAATCGAGCAAAATGATTACACACGAATAGTAGTTGTGCTAGGTATCTTTTCAGCTGACGGTGCAACAGTACCCGTTGCAAAAAGAGCTCCAGGATTCTACTCTTAAAAACGCTCCATCGCCATCAATGTTGGGAGCTCCAGAGGTAATTCCCGTCTGGTTATCTTTTGTATCAAAATTTTCACTCCGATTAAGAACATGTCTCCTAGAACGTCGCAGTCGTTTTAAGGATTTAGAATAAATTCAGGTTCTTACTGTTGGGTCAAATTTCATTCATCTAATAGGTGGTAAGAAAGTGCTTGATATTGGAACGTTCACTGGTGCTTCAGCTCTAGCATGGGCACTTGCTGTCGGTAAAGAAGGAAAGGTAAAATTACAAAGTATTACTCATCGTACTGATTACTGATCTTATGTTTGATTATTATTTCCTTCTGAGGTTTACACTTTGGATATCTCACACAAGAATTTTGCGGAGTATGGAGTACCGATTATTTCTAAAGATGAAGAAGTCTTTAAGAGGATTATACCCATGGAGGGTTCAGCTCTCGAAATATTAGGTCTATTTTTTCCGTAAGAAAATGATTTAATGATTTATTAGGAGCTTCTACAAAGCGAATTGTTTATAGATAAAATGGTAGCCAACGGAGAAACGGGGACGTTTGATTTCGCTTTTATTGATGCCGACAAGGTAAGACCTCATAGCACTCAGGGGAGCAGAGTTGCATATCATCTACACTAAAATGCTCGATGAATTTTTACTTCTAGCAGAACTACCCGATATACTATGAATTGGTGGTCACTTTATTAAGAAAAGGTGGTGTGGTGATGGTGGACAATGTAGGTGCAATTTAATTTGGTGTTCTTGGAAACTTATCAGAAGCTAAGATCACGCAGTGTATACTAAGTTAAGGCACTGTGGGATGGGCAGGTAACCCAACATCCGTCCACTTTTAATGAAGCGACCAGGAAAATAGATGAAACAAACAAAAAGGTTAACAATGTTTTTTGTGCACGTTATACTTGCTAGACACTACTTTTGCCTTAATTATCATGTTTAAATGAATACTGTTATCGGATCTCGTTCAGATTTTCCAAGATGATCGAACGTACTCGGCGCTTCTGAACTGTGGAGATGGCATCCATATTGCTTTCAAGAAGTGATTTATTGGAATGCAATTGCTTAAGATGTTTCAAATAGACTGGCTTTGTAATGAATTATATACGCAGAATATCCTTCTGGTTCATCTCCAACAAGAAATATTGATATAATCGGGTTATAAGGGTAAAGGAAAAATAAATAAAGGGTTCGTATACGGTACGGGCTAGTTGCAACATTTTAACAAAATAAGAATAGTGTATATGATGAGATTCAGACTACAAAATTACGATACAGAAAGCAAAAATAGGGCGACACGTCCGTAGTAATCCATCTTTGCACCAAAATGATAATAAAGAGGACAAGTCGAAGTAAAATAGACTGATACAGCTACTCCTAAATAAGGGATCTTGCATGCTTAAAAAATCAACTAGTTGCTTTTGAATCTCGTTTTTCATGAGACTTTCTAAAAAAATTCCATAACCAAGACTCTCCATTCATTTGACTTTTGAATGCATTCCTGCTTCCACGTTCCTCTATTCTTAGAGAATATTCGGCATTCCATATACAATAATGATAAGAATTATTTCTTCCTAAAATTTCTAGATTATCGTGAAAGAATCTATATTCTATTTGTCTATAGCACAGGGTTTTCCAGGTGCTAAAATGATTGCCACTTTACGTTCCATTTGTGAATATCCACAATTATACTGAACAACTCGAGAGCCCTTCATTTCGTAATGACAGCACTATAGATGGGAAGATAGGCCCAACAACGTAATACCATCTATCCAAGACTGTTCAGCACCAATCTCAACAGTTTCATCCTAAAACGGGACTGGCAAACATTGCAGTGCAAATGGATGGTCAGCAATTACAACGCAACCAAGGAATGTCTTGCTCCATGTTGATGTCTTCAGCCTCGCGTGTCTTATTAATACCTCGCCTATATTAACATGCGACTACGAAAATGAGTTCTTTGCAAGCACTGTGAAAATGCTGTTATTTAACAAGTTATCGGGAACGTAGTATTAGAACTACCCTTTTCATCTGAGGAAAGAAATGTAACCTTTAGGAGTGCACTGGAGATCGAAGATTAAGGTTGACATAAGGCGCGCAAAGATGTCGATAATCAAGCGAGTAAACACGTTATTCGTCTGAATAACATCTTCCAAACATTTTGGGCAAACGATAGCGCTCCAGAGGATGTTAAGAATAGAACAGAAATATTACTAATGAGACCTTCTATGAAGATTCCAAGCAGTGAGTATTATGCTTTCCGTTTTCTTTTTTTTTTTTGAGTAACTAACGCATTACCATTGCTCGATCGTTGACGTGAAACGCCGCTGATGTATTGAATGCATTTCGTGAACGAAAGAGCAAAGTGAATGAGATGGATTACACTCAGTGCATCTCTATTTTGCCACACAGAGCCTTTTTATCTTATTATTAAGTATATTATATCTATATCTTATTATACTTATGTTATTCTGTGAATATTCTTTTCTGTTAACGCATGAACATGTGAAGAAAATATCGCCTTCTGCTTTTATCTGAAAGTAATCTTTTTCTCCTTTGCCTTTTTAAGACTTTTGAGTATAGACGTTAAGTCTATTTTTAATGGATACATTTGTAACCAAGTATCAAGGCATACTACATGCTTTTTGTGCGCAAAAACCAATTGTTATCATTTTGTGTGATCAGTTAATGCGGTCTGAACGAGCCAATATTTCTCGGAGGACGCACGTACTGCGCTAATGTTGAGAAATGAAGCTGCTATTGGAACGAAAAATCGAGTCCGGAAGGGCATGAAGATCGAAGGCGAACTGGCACTCAGTGAAATCGAGCAGATGCGGTTGTTATATTTATTTATACGATCCTATAAACTGATCTTCTTGAGCTGATTCGAGATTGGTATATCCTATCGTTGTCGTTGTTGTTGGTTGAAGGCTGAAGTTTCGGCGATTTCGCCTTCCTCACAGCCTAGACGCATTTTATGTAATATTAGCCTTATATTCGGTGAAATGTTTATGGTATTAATAAAGATCAAATTCTCAAATAAACGCCATATTAGATAGATGTTACATGTTAGATGTTGCGATAACGGAGAGGCATCTTAGTGATGCCACCATTTATTGTGCATCATTTGAAAAGGAGTGCAAAATCATTACGGAAAGCTAAACAATCAATGGGTCAGTGTGAAAAAACTGCAGCCTTAAAATCATCGGTTATTTCGCATTTTAAAGCCAGTAGACCAAGATGTTTCGTCTTATACTTACCAAAACACGCGAGTTGGTATGCCTTGATGATCTTGCGTCTATCAATCCTTTATCCTACAAGGTTAGACCTATTATCAGTTGTGTAGACGGGCCAACGGATAGAATAACATGGTTTCTAGGCCGAATACTTACCCAACTGGTTAGCCATATTTCAGCTCACCTCACGAACACCCAAATGTTCTTAGAACGCCCACGTAACGCGTCTCCTAACAACGCGTACGTGATGGAGTGTTTCCATGCTTACGCGCTCTACACCAACGTATCGAATGACTCCGCAATGCAAGCCATTCACGAACTTCTTGTTGAAAATGAAGGAGGAATACATATGCATGGCTTGTTTATTCAATAGCTTATAGCTCTCTTAAAAATGTGCCTGAACTTCTCGATTCTCTCAGATGGCCTGGAAATTATTATGCCGAAATTGGAGGGCTAGCAATGGGACAGTGGTTCGCACCAACTGTCGCCATTGCGCTCATATCTAAAATAGAAGCCCTGGTTATCGATCTACGCTGCTCTACTGCAAGTACATAGAAGATTGTTTTGTCATCTTCTCTACTCAGAGGGAGATGGACAAATGCTTTAAATTATTGAATGGGCAGTTTGAGTATATTAAATTCACCCAAGAGAAACCGAAAGAGACCTGGCTTCCATTTGTTAACGTTCAAATAAACCTATGAGGAAGCGGTTACAGGACAAAGCGGTACCGAAAGCCAAATAAAAAGAACATCCCCGTTCATTTCCTCTCCTCCCACCCTTCACACACAAAGAGGGCGATTGTGAGAAACGTGTTTCGAACAGCCACCTCTGTGTGCACTACCAGGGAACTAAAAGAAGAATCGCGCGACTTGGCTCGGCAAATAGTCATCTCTAATGGCTACGAAATAGTAACCCCACGAGATTAGTTCACAAGGAGAACGACGCGCCCACGCGAAACACTTGGCAAAAAGAAAGTCCCGTTTATGTTGCCTTTTATTAGCGATGAAGTAAGCGCAGCTATAAAACGATGCTTAAGAAGGGCAGGTCTAGAGGAATCGGTAACGATAATTGAAATGCCACTGGCTACTCTACGTCGTCAGTTAGTCCATGACCGCCTCTATGACCGTCTATGTGAAACATAAAATTGGCTAATCTGCTCTTACATAAGGGACGGTGATTGAATGAGTCTACGTACGATCCGCTGAGTAACAACCTCGCGATTGCTGAAAAGGAAAACGAGGTATTTATAAACTCCATATTGATCAAAAAGACTACTCACCGTGCTGTTACGAGAGGTACTGGTGCATGCGTTGTTCACTTGTGGTCGCAAGCAAGACCCAGCCAGGTCAAACAATCATTTTGAAATAGGGCACCAAATCACGTGTAATAGTGAGGCATTCGTCGTTCCGGTCCATCTTTGGATTTTTGAAATTTATCCAATACGTCCCAAGAGTTTTGCGTATTGATGTTTTTGATTCTTGCGCTAGGATCCGGACAATCACTTCAGAATCATTGTCATTGTTCTTTTGTACCCTGTCTGTACTTAGAGGAGTGCTTTGACGATTTTTGATACTCCCATCTAGGTGTTCTTTTATGCCAACATGAATCGGTCTGCCCGTTTCCTCAATGTATTCCTCACCGCATGCGTTACATGAGATCAAGTATATTATGCCCGAACTCATGCAATCCCCGACTCTCCCGTTAGGACAGATCATACAGTCTTCTAAGCTGCACAAGCGATCATAGAGACGGTTGCCAACTAACTGACGGCGTAGGGTATTGGGTGGGATGTCAATAATCGTTACATTATTCTCAACACCACTTTTTCTTAAGTATCTCTTAATGGTGTAACTTACTTCATTTGATATGAAGGGTACCTTAAAAGGGATCTTACTTACGTCCGAAACATTAATTTGGGGAGCTAATTTGCGTTTTTGTCTAACCCGGGTGGTTTCTGCTTCATAGTCGTTGGAAATGGTTATTTTTCGTGCCAGGTTTAGCGATTCCCTCCTTTCCTGTTCTCCTGTGCACACATTTTAAGCCGTTCGATATAAGTTTTTGATGAGTGCTTTTTTCATGCGTGAAAGATGAGAGGAGAGGAAGTGAACTAGTATATTTTTACTACTTTTAGCACCTGGTTTACGATACCATTTTGTTACACAGCCACTTATTCGGATGTTTAAGAATGGAAGAGTTCTCGGTTGATTTTTCCCTCGTGAAATTTATCTACTCCCACTGCCCACATAACAATTCAAAGCACACATCCATCTGGTCTTGTATGGAACAGACAATGAAGCAGTCGTCTATGTATCGACAGTAGACTAAGGGTAGCTGATCGAGAACTGGAGCTTCTACCTTAGACATGAAAGCGATGGCAAGGCTTGGCGCTAATAGCTGTCCCATGGCCACCTCTAAATTTGTGCAAAATATCTTTCCGACTACCTAAAGACTAAACAACTAAGACACTGCACTGTCGTTTTCTTGTTCAAAATCGCGCGGTTGTTAAACAGCATACATTTATTTCCATAGAAAAACCCAATACAATATAACAGTAGCTGACGTTTCGGCAGTATCGCCTCTTGCAGAGTCTGGAAGGGTATACAAATATGCAATCTACTAGGCCCAACGCATCAGTAACACTTACAAAAAACGAATAGCTCTATGGTAGTTACAAGATTAACAGCTTCTCGAAAAACTCACCGTTTTAACGTGACTTCCAATGAGCATTCATATTCTAATGCCAAGGTTAATAGAAAGTCGATCCTGGGAACACTATACTGTTTTAAAAAAGTTATTAGCTTTTGAATTGA